ATCATAGGCTTCACCTTATGCCAACAAGAAAGAAATCCTAGAGACCCAATTGCTTGATATTCAACCTGAATCAATATTCAGGTTATTCTCTCTCTCTCTCTCTCTCTCTCTCTCTCTCTCTCTCTCTCTCTCTCTCTCTCTCTCTCTCTCTCTCTCTCTCTCTCTCGTTCCCTAGCTCGCTCTCTGGCTCGCTCTCTCCATGTTTCATAGTCCCACATTCCTTAGCTTCTCCATGTTTCACCCTGTCTTCCACCCACCTGTTTCTGACAGTGGTTGTAAGGAATGAAGTGAGTGTTAAGGAAATTTGGATTAACCAAAGTAGAAGCATGAAGTCTGGTCTGCACTGACTGTCCTTATTAAAGACTATTAATATTCACCAATCTTTAGAGATATGGTAGTTATTCTAAAATCAGGTCATGGGTAGAGTTCACTTCAACCTATATGAGGCAGAAAGCTCATCCAGGCCATACATATCAAATGGTTCTCTGTTGGCTTTGAAAGAATTCAAGAAGAGAGCCTACCATTTTTGTCTTTGATTTAAAACCTCTCACCATCAATAAGTCATTTGCTATGTCTTCTTTTTAACTTTTTCTGCTGCAATTTTTAAGGCCAAATCTTTTGGTCAGGTCCTCAGAGGGAATGAAGAACAGCTCAGCTTACCTTTAGCTTCCCAACCCCTACCCCCCGCCACCCCTAAATGAGCACACTCCCTCTCCCAGTGATATTTCATTACCAAATTTTTAACTATTTTCATATTTTCACTCTTATGTGCACTACTCATGTGGATGCTTAGTCTCTATGAAACTATAAACTGGAAACAAATTGAGCATTTAATGCATACATCTTGATTATTTGGGACATATACCTTATATCTGTAATATCACCACAATCAAGGTACTATATAGATATATGTATAGATATATAGATATATATTCATGATCTTCAAAAAGATTCTTGTTTTGTTTTCTGCGTGTCACTGAACATGAGATCTGTCTACTATGCATTTTCAAGTTCCCAACTCTATGAACTCTAGCAGATTTGCACAGCGGATTTCTAAAATTTAGAGATCTTTCATAGTTTGCTTGCTGTGGAAAAACAAATCAAATCGTTCCTTTACCATCCTCCCTCCTTTGTCCCCTCATGAAGATTCAAACCCCTATGTTTATTTCCATTTGAGTTTGTCATGCAACTTCTGAAATAAGGAAAGCAGTACTTTATCAAGGGTTCTGGAGCTCAGGCAAAGCAGCTGTGTGTTGATACCCTGAACAGGAAGTCGTCAGAATGGTAATCTTTGATTTGCAGCTGCTGGAAAAAAAAAAAAACATAGCTGCAAGACTGCTGGTTTTGGACTGGTCTGTGAGGAGCACTTTTGTTGGCAATACTGTTGGCAAAAGAATAGCAATAAGCCTTTCTCCTCACACCCCCAGGCAGTGTGCATTATCTAGCTGCCAACCCTGTTAACTTTCTCAGTGTTTGTTGAGGCTTCCCTGAAGAAATAACAAGATATGCGGGCAAATGTTTCTCCAGGGTAAATAGAATCTTTCCCCAAAGAAATGTCCTCCTTGTATCGAGGTGGGTATAAAAGCAGCCTTACCATTCTAGATGGTTCTGTTTCAACCTTAGCTTCAAAAAAAGTCTACTTCCACTCACCAAACATTACTCTCTTCATTTTCAGACAAATCCCAGACGTTTTGCTTCTTCTGTGTATCTCCTCAGTAGGAGTTGTATTCATGCTCACCTCTGCCTGAAATCATCTCATGATGTAGCTACTCCAAAGGCTTTATTTCCCACTTTCATCTCAGTGACTCAAAAAAAACCCTCGCTTTCTAAAGCTTTGTTGATGTATAGCTGATATAAGACAAATTACACATTTAATGGATACATCTTGATGATTTGGGACATATGCCCCAAAAGGCCTGCCCTTTTGCAGGATATATGTGTACTATCATCACCACAATCAATATATATATATTCATGACCTTCAAAAAGTTTCTTGTGTTGTGTGTGTGTGTATTAAGGACACTGACCATGAGATCTGTACTCAATGTATTTTCAAGTTCTCAACACTGCAGGGACTCTAGCACAGTTGCACAGCTTATCTCTAGAATTTAATAACCCAGCATAACAGAAACTTTGTACCCATAGAGCAACAATTCTTCATTTAAACGCTTAGGCATGGCAACCATTATTCTACTGTCTGCTTAAGAAGATATCTTGGTATAACTTTTCTTTCAAATTCCTCTGACCTTCTGCTTGTTGGACATCTTTCTAAGTCTTCTCCCTCCTTTCTTCTTTCATTCTGGGTAGAATGACTAGTAAATCTATATAGCTATGTTGGGTTCATTTATTTATTGATTTGCATCTCTCCATCCTGTGGTGAAGATGCTCACTGTCAGATTTAGCATTAGACCACAGGAAGCTAGTAAGTAAATGGAGAGAGAGCACCAAAAGAGTCTTCAATAACCAAAAGTCAATCCTAAATAACTAAGTGTTTAGAGTATTAACTACAGAGAGACAAAGAAAACACATTAAAACCACATGCACACAATAACAAACCTTCACATCAGGTCGTATGCTATTCTTTTTCTCCAGTGTTTGAGGCCAGAAAGGTGGGAACAAATTTCCTTAAGTCATATGAACTTCTCTCTTTCCTGCAAAAAACAAAACAAAACAAAACAAAGCAAAACAGTGCTGCTCACTGAGCTTCCAGTGTGTCTTTTGTTTGGAAAGCATGGTGCCAATTAGACACTCTCATCCCACTTCTTACTTTGGTTGGAGAGGTATCACCATCTTTAGTGACCAACTGGTTGGCTAAGAATTATCCTATTTCACATGCTCCACCAGTCAATAACTACTACCAGCTTCCCTAGCTAGAGGCTGTTGAGCTATATCAATCTTGGACTAAATTGTCAACCATCCCGCCACCATACCTACAACCTTAGGTTCAGAGAGCCAGGCTTGATATTAATAGACACAAGTCCTTCTACCTAAAGTCTTAGTAGAGAGTAAAATGACAGCACAGCTAATCATCTCCCTTCAGTGAGCCTGGCCACTGTGATAAGTATGTGGCCTAAATGTTCTCCAACCACATTGGTGGACATGGGAGGCAGCATGGCATATGAAGAGTGTTTCTCAAAATTGAGGCCCTAACCCCCTGCATCAGAATTACCTTAAATGTTTGTCAAAATATATACCAGGACATCTTCCATATTCAATGAAATAGAATTTATGGGAGTTTGAATTTTTTTAAAATCTTCAATTGATTAAGAAACATTGTTTTAGTGGAAAAGAGAGAGTTGGTGTTCAGGTCCCACATAGACTCCAGAGGTCTGTCTGCCCTTTTACAGGCTGTATGAGCCTGAGAGTACTACCTGAAGCCTGAGCTTTCAGTTTTGTCTATAACATGGAAATAGTGGAACAAAAAATTCAAATGAAGTATCTGTGGTTTACCTAACACCAAAAGGGGGATTGAGTCACCTCACACTGGAGACTATTCATCTGTAGTAACAGAGAAGATTTGAATTCACCCAAGAAGTAGAACATCACTTGCCTTCCCCCCAACCACACAACTCCTTTCTGCTTTCAGTTTCCCACTACAGCACAGAACCACCTGACCCAGTCTTCTTTTTCAGGAATGGATTTATAATTCAATTATTTCAGGTTCTTCTGGAAGTCATCATGCTTGGCACATAGTAGGAACTCATAAATATTTACTGAGTGAATGCAGTCTTTTGTTCCAGCCTGACTCACCTCAACATCTGTCTTTCAGATTAACCCATCACCCCATTTCAGTCCCATAACCGCAATTTAGGCAAGTCTCTAAGAGCTCCACCCAGCACATCAGCGAGCCAGACCCACTTTTACTTCTACAGACAGCTCAGGACAAAGTCCCTCCCTCCACTCACAAAGGCATGCACTTCCTCTCCTCAGATTACCAACTCTCCGGGGGAAATCAACTAAGCTTTAACCCTTAGGTCCTCAAACCACGTCAATATAAAATAGGAATCCAGCCTTCATCCCTTTTCGCCTATGTGCAAATAACAGACTATGAGGAAGTAAAATTGGACAGGCAGCCTTTGAAGAAGAAAACAGCTTCTATTGCTGTGAGAGGAAAGGACAGGAAGCCTGAGAAAGGAAGGGGGTGGGGGGCACTGAGCAAGGGGAGAGCAAAGCAGGGCCTTAGCCAGCTGTTTCAATTGCCTTTGGCCCAAGTTGCAAATTTACCTTCTAACCACGATGGCTGATTGACTCCTTCCCTCTCTTCAGACTCAGATCTGAGAAACAACTTCTCCTCACAGCTTGTCAGAAGGGGATGGGAATCCCAGCTGCTCTTTGCAGTGATGCTGAAAACCTTGCTTTACCTTTGGGAGAGAGGGGCGGAGTCCAACCTAATGGGAATTAACTCCAAACACGCTGGAGACTTCAAATCCAAACACAGACATTCTGAAGTAGTTCAGTGGGCAATGTTCTCCACCTCTATCCTCACATCTGCAAAGTCACCTGTGTGTAAGTGTGTGTGTGTGCACGTGTGTGCGTGTGTGTAGCAGAGAGAAAGAGCGTGCTCACACTTGAATTACTTATCTACTTACTTCCTCAGCAACTGCCCAAATGCCTGTGGAGGAATAAAGGTTCTCCCTAACTTTCCTCCAAATTCCTAAATAATTTCCACCATATGTTTTAGGTAACAGACCTATGTAGCTGCAAATGACTCATAAAACACATGACTGAAAAGCGTAAGAGAGAATAATGTCTTTTCCCTGAACTTATTCCCACGGTCTGATGGGGAAGATGCTTCAACAGAGCAATTTGTGGTTCCAGGATGTAACAAGTTTACATTTAAGAAATATAATATCACACATTAAAAAACTAAATAATGCCTCTAAAAAAACAGCTTAACAAAAGTCAGTCTAAGTTCTCCCATCAAAAGCACCAACAACTGTGTTGACGCTTGGGGGAAGATCTGAAAGTTCTGGGAATTAATTTGTCTGATATTCTGTGCCAGCCCAAGCTGATCCCTCCCACCCTGACTGTCCCTGGCATTCCATGTTTATTTTTGGAAAAGTATTACTGTTTACCTTATATGAGGTTTTGCTTTGCATTTTTTTTTTTGACATATGTGTCTCGTTTTCCTTCTAGATACTGTGTGAGCAGGGAACTTTACTGAACCAAAATGACTCGAAAGGAGGAAAGCTAGCTTGATTCAATATGGGCATGCTAGACAGACCCAAAGCACCTTTGTTTCTATAATGCACAGTTGTCTTCCCAGGATACTATAAGTGTGATCAGGTTTTCTAGCATTTTGAGGCAATCATTCAAAATTTAAGAGTATAAGAACTGGAAAGTTGACACACTCATTCTACCATGATCATTTACTAACTTGGCTCAAGTTTGTTCTGCCTGATATGAATAAAAACATGTACCTTATCGTCTCTTAATGTAATATATATAGCCTTACATTCATGCATACAACTATTTCTCTGAATTGATACTTTCCATAAGCACTTTTCTCCTGCTTCCACACACTGATAAAGCACACTCTCATCTGTAATAATGACTTACTAAAGGTCATCTCTGGATAAGACAGATGACCATAAGTGTACCATCAGACTCTTGGCAGTGTAATCTCTACAGACAAGTTTCCTAATCTCCCAGTTGGTATCCTCTTAAGAATCACTGCTTCACACATCAAACTAAAAACTTTCTGCACAACAAAAGAAATAGTGACTAAAGCAAAAATACATCTTATTAAATGGGAGAAAATATTTGCAGATCAGATATCTACCAAGGGACAGTGTCAAAGTTTCTTCAAAAAGCTCATACAAACCAGCAAAAAGAAAGAAAATAACCCAATGAAAATGGGTAGAAGACCTAATGAGACACTTCTCCAAAGAAGATATACAGATGTGTCCAACAGACATCTGTTGTGTTCGTGTAATCACCACCTATCATCAAGGAAATGCAAATCAAGCCACAATGAGACTCACACTTTTAAAAATAGTCCATATCAAAAAGATCAAAAACAAGTGCTGGTCAGGTGTGGAAAAACCGATCCCTCTTACACTCTTGGTGGGAATGTAGACTGGCCCAGACCCTATATATGGATCTTCCATACAGCCCAGGAACCACATTCCTAGATTTAGCTGAAGAACAGAAAAACACTAATTTGAAGAGAAACTTACACTCTTAACTTCATCACAGCACTATTTACAGTAGCCAAGCTATGGAAACAACCCAAGTGCCCAAACACAGATGAGTGGATCGTGAAAATCGTTTGGTGTATCTACAAGATGGAATGCTCTCCAGCTATAAAAAAAAAAAAAATCTTACCATTGTGGTCATATGGATGGAGCCGAAAGGAATTATGCTAACTCAAATAAGTCAGAAGGAGAAAGATATATACCAGGTAACATCACTTATATGCAGAATATAGGCAAACAACAGGTGAGATATAGCCAAACTAAGAAGGAACACTAACAATCTAAAAATCTAATTATAGAACTGAGGCTACCAGAGAGGGTGGGGTAGAGTGATGGGTGAGAACGAAGTGGGGAGGGAGCACAGTGGACTATGGTGGTAAATTATAGGTGTATTGGTGGTGGCTATGGTATAATAATGAAACAGTACCAAAATAGTACTTAAAACAGTATCAAGGGATAGTACCAAGGTAGGAGTGAATGAACAGGTGATGTATTACAGGTATTCACCCTTGGACTCAATTGCAAGAAACCACTCGGGCTCAGGGTCCAGCCCTGTTTATTTAACAAACAGGAGATTGGGGAAAAGGAAAGAAAGTCTAAGGCAACAAGTGGCTGGCTGCCTCACCCAGATAATGTCATCATAGTCCAGTCTTCCCAGGCAGAGGCCACTCCTACCAGATGACACTGCCCTGTCAATGAGGGCCTGGAGCTGGTGGCACACTAATCAGCAGTATGCCAGGGTCCAACTCATGGTGGCAGCTGGAGGTGCTCACAGGTGGTGCCACTGAGGTAAGACTGAAGCAGCCTACAACAGCCATCTGAAAGCCAGGCTGGACAGCACCAGATGTCAGACTAGACATTGATGGACTCTACAGCACCAGGTGATGTTGGAGAACCAAAGGTGGTGGACAGCTGTCGAAGGCAACCTGACAGAGTGTCAAGTCCCCAATCAGTAGGGCCAGTCAGCACCAGTCACCAGAAGGCAGTGTCAGAGACACCAGTTCCATATCTCTGTGTATCTACTGACTGTATGAAACAATAGTCAACAGCAGTTTGAGTCACTGGACTGAGGCCAATGATGTTTCTTGCAAGAAATATCCGAGGCAGGGCCAGAGGCATGTGCGGCAGTCAGATCTCTGCAAAGGTCTACAGAGGTCTGGAAATTCCTCTGTGGGAGGCTGCTGAATCTTGTGGAGGTTGTCTGTTGATTACTTCTTTCTTCCAAGACTGGCTGCTGACTACTCTCTTCCGATGGTGGGCTGCTGAGTCACTCAAGCTGGTTCTTTTTGTCTTATATCCTCTTCTGGGTCTGCCATTCTACAAGCCTGATTGGACCATTTTCAATTCTAAGTGTCTGATTGGTAGGATTTGTACCAATCAGCTCACTTCCTTTTTTAATTGGCAAAATTAGCCCAAGCCCTTAACTGACAGCTGGAGACATCAAACCTGTTGGTCCAAATGTGTGATCCTGGAGAAAAATACACAAGAGAAAAGTTTGACCCCTGTTTAGACTGGCCTGCACTCACATCAGGACAGGCTCATAGATCAGAGTACTCTGAGGAACCATGGCCAAAGCCAGCCTCACTGACACCAGAGGAACACTTCACCACCTGGGCCCTGAGAGGGACCAGGTTTGGCAATTTGGGGGTTTGGAGGGAGCCTGCAGCAGTGCTGTGATCTGGTTACAGTACCACATGGGGGGATATAGCCTATACTTCTAAAATACAAACAACAATGTAAACCAATGATATATCAATAAAAGAAAAATAGAAAAAAGAATTATTGCTTTACATATAGGACTGAATTAAAAATACTGTACCCTCTCTTATTAAAAATAGTCAGTATGATCAGACCCATAATAACTATGTGTAAGACATAGCTGAAATTTTTGACCTAAGAAAAATAGTTCCATGCTAGGCATCAGTAAACTGGGCCCTTTTTTAGTGGCTGCATCTGTCATTTGGGGGGCATTGATCACTATTGTCAACTTTAAAAATGGCTCATTTTTACTTATCATTTTTAATCCTCTTTTTCCCTGTATCTCCATTCCCCTTAAGTGGATTAATACAAAAACTCAAAAGTACTCTAAATAGTGTTCTCGTTTATTGAGTGGTTGTATTTGTTGTTCTTAATTTAAAAGTTGATAGTTCTTGTAGGAAAGAGATGTATTTCTTGACTCTTGATATTTTTCATTTGAAAATGCTCTTTCAGCTTTGTTTCCATAAGACCATGTGGGAAGGGGGTGCCTTTCCTGGTGGCGCAAGGGGTTAAAGTGCAGAACTATGAAGCTAACTGAAGCCACCTCAGCGCGAATTTGATCCCCAGCCAGGGAGGTGACCCACATGGCACAGCAGACCTCTCCTGTCTCTCCCACTGCTCCAGCAGTGTACTTCATCAGTCTGCCTGTCCTGCTCCCCACTCTGTCTCTGGTGAAGCCTCTCACCGCCCCTGAGCCTCTGGCCTGTACCCCAGTTCT